CTGTGAAGACGCCAATGAAAGGCTGTACAGATACCACTAAGCTAGCACCTGCTCTAAAGCAAACTCTCAAAAAGAGGCGCTATAAGCTTACTACAAGGAATAAAGTGTAGGCACAAATGCAGTGGCATTCAGAGGCAATGTAGAACAAATATAAGATTGTATCACTCCTTTTATGTCTGTGACCGTCAGAAGAGTCCTTATCAACAATCAATTTATCTAACTGTTAACGAGATGAGGGTTAGGTTCTCAGCAAGATGACCCACAGCATCAAAAAATGTTAGACTAGCTTACATGACTGTCTGGACAGTCCCTAAGCCACTGGGTTTTCTGTGAAGCCCTACTCCAGTAGCCAGTGTTCACCCAGTTCTCCTTCCAAGTGCTCCCTTTATTTTTCTTACTTCAAGGCTACTAAGCATGGTTGGTTGGTTTGTTTTTGTTTGTGTGTGTGTATGTGTGTGTGAGTGTGTGTGTGTGTGTGTGTGGTTGTTACTGCAGGATTGAATACAAGGTCTTCATACTGAGCTACATCCAGAGCCCTTTTTAAATTTTATTTTGAGACAAGGTCTCAATGAAATGCTAAGTTGCCCAGACTGGGCTGGAACTTGGAATGGTCCTGCTGCAGCCTCCAAAAGTGCTTGGATTATAGCTGTGTGCCACCACACCTGGCTGCAAAACATGTTTTTCCAAGAGCAAAGTCCCCATTGGCTGCATCACAGACATTTTCTTGAGTAGCCTTTGCCTGTCTTCCGTTCTATCCATTTCAGCCTCTCCTACTTCTCTTCATAACCTTAAAACAGTGTTTTGAGTAACCCTCATATTTGCTAAAGAAATAAATCCTAATTGCTGTAAGCCATCTCACCCCTTTATTTTAAGAAACATTTTGCACAGCATCCTCATAGTTCTCCAGCACTGAGGAGCTTCCTCCCCATGGAGAGTTGTGTCCCTTGAAACACATAAAAAGGAGCCTCTCCCTGTTTTCCTCTCAGGCACTGTAAAAGGCAGCCTCACTACGTTTGGCTCTTGGAAAGCTATAAGATGTGGATGCATGTTAAAGAGCTTGTGTGTGCTATGAGAGTCCCATAGGCATTTCCTGGTCTTAACATTATCCAAATCAGCACTAAGTGTGGCGTAAACCTGGGCATGGAACCAATGGCCATTGGGACAGAGGAGAAAGCACAGCTAGAAGGAGTGGCAGACAAGGTAGAAAAAGGAATGGAAGACGAAAATGAGTTCAGTTTCCAGCTCTGCCTGCAAAGCCCAAGTAGGACTTGGAATGTCCTCCCTGTGCGAGCTCACCTGATGGTCTCCATCTGTTCCGAGGCCCTGGAGGCTGGCTGGCCATTAAACACGGAACGATGACTGGTGTAGCAGGTGCAGAGAGGTGGGAAGGTGTGGAGCAAATAAAACAAGTCCGTGGCATCTATGAGAAACGTTGACCCCCAGGAAATTTTAAAAGTTTGTGCACTGTGGTATTCATGACGTATGTGTGAGAGGCACGAGGGTAAGTGTACTTCTCATGAAAGTACTTCAATTACTTGCATATTGTTATGCCTTTAGAATTCCCAGGCCCTGCACAGTACATTTACTTAATACTCAAAGAGAACTATGGCTTGCTTTGGCAAATTGGCCTTTAATGCAGTCCACTGGCCCGGTGTCAATGCGCGTGTTGCCTGAGCTACAGCCTTTGCTAAAGTCATTCTCTCAACCTACTGCTGTGAGTTGACTTCTCTTCCCGTAACTTTTCCTTGACACCCCTTGACATCTGTGTCAAATTGGAGCTTCTTATTAGCACCTTTTAGGATTTCCCGCACTCTGCTAGACGCGTCTCCTCTCACTTGCAGCTCTGTGCGATGCTTGTTCTCTTTGCCGTTCCATCCTTTCACCCTCTCATCCCTCTTTCCCTGCAGTTACTTCCCTTAGTGCACCCAACACACTCCTTTTAGCTGTGCAAGCCCTCCTTCCTAGAATGCTTTCATAGCTGGTGAAGGATTGCAAAGGGAAACTTTCTAAAGAACTGTCAGTGTTCTGCTGAAAATAATTCTTTCTTCATATGCTAAGTACTCCACAGAAGAAAGGTACTCTTCAGCTTTTCTTATCAGCAGCTTATCTTCCTGTGCTTCTGTTCACCATGCCAGACTGATACTCCTCACTTCTTTCACAGCCTTGATCCACTCCAGCAGCAAACCCAGTAGGTTCTTCCTTCCCGCCACTTGGCCTGGCCCTGACCTTCCCCCCGGGCACTGGCAGTTCCTTCGAGGGTGCCCCGCTGTCTGTGGATGAACCTTGGGAAGCAGGTCGCTGTGCTACTGCTTGCTCAGAAGCCTCTCACAGCCCCACAGCTCCTTCCAGATCAGACTTGGGAAGAACAGTCATGCCCTACACCGTGTGACCCCTTTCTCCAGACTCGTCTCTCACTTTTACCCCCAGCCAGCCCACCCAATCCTCTCCCATCTCCCAACTTCTCATCACATTTGCTTTTGATCAGAATATAACCATAGAAACCACCCCCCAAAACGTGAAGCTAGAGAATGGCGTGATGGGTGTGCTCATGAAAATGACCAAAGTGTGTTACGCACCACTAGGAGGAATCTGCCAAAGCGAACCCCATTAGTCTTTGTATAACCAATATGTGCTAATTTTAAAAGACGTAAAGAAAAAGGAAAAAAAGTTCTCTTTTCCTGCCTGTCACTCTGCCGTGACCTCTTCTCTACAAACGTGCTAGTGGACTCAGATTGCGGCTCAGTCTTTTCCTCCTCTAAGTGGCCTTCCCTGCCCAGTGGGTGTAAAGCAGCACAGATCCTCACATGCCCCTGAGCCTGCTTCAGTTCTCTTCATGGTTCATTCCTATTTCCTGTACTATTAACATGTTTGCTGTTCAGTTTCTACCTCCCGTCTCTTGTACTAAAATGTAACTGCAATATAAAGATGAGGGTGTGGATCTCACTGGCTTTATCCTCTGCACCTGCCCGCGGTGTCTATAACGTTGCCCGGCACATAGTAGGTGTTGGTGGAATATGTTCAATGAAGAAATAAAATTTGAGGGTTGTATTAGGCAGTTTTGCATGACTACAATGTGGCACTAACTTTGTAAAGACAAAGCATTTGTGTAGCTTGGGATTTGGAAGCCTCACGACTGTGGCACCTGTGCCGGGTCACTTCTGGGGAAGACCTCGTGGCAGACAGTGCCTGGTAATGTCAGAGAGGATGGCAGAATGACCCCTGTGGCCCAAAGAGCACCTGTCCTCCCAAGCTCCCGGCACATGAAGCTTGGAGAGGACACAACTGCTGAAGCTATAGCAGGACCATCTTCTGGATCTCAAGAAGCGTACACTTTGCCAACAATTTTCAAAACATCAGTACCTAGTTCAGTTCATGAATCTGCTGATGTGCTTCTGCCAATGACAAAAGTGTAGGGATGAGGCATGGATGATACTGCAGCATGGCCACCCTGTGACACAGCCCTAATGAGGTCAGCTTGCGAGACATTATGGAGCCCCTGTCATCGGACACGGCAAGTTCTTGGAGAGCACTGCTGGCGTTTTCAATACCACTGGAGTATAAGAAAAAGGCCACAGTGAGGTTGACACCACAGCAAATCTCTGGGCTTCACCAGTTTAGTGTCTCAAATACCACTTGCTCTGTAAAAGGAGACAACATACAGGTGGTGTTCTTCCCCCTCTACTGTTTGGCAAACACATTATCTTGTGTGACTTCTAGATGGTACTTCTTTCCCAAGTAAGCTCAAGTTCATAGATGATGGATTCCACAGCCCTGGTTTAGATTGACTGGCAATTTTACAAAGTAAAACCTAAGACTTTTCTCCGTCTATGTTTCATTCAGACTTCATCTCAGCTATGGTTTTTTTTTTTTGTTTTGTTTTTGTTTTTTTTTTTTTTTTTTT